GACAAAAATCATACAGAATCCATAAAAAGAGAAACTTTAATCTGTTCTTTATAACTCTCACATTCAAGATTTTTTTTTTTTTTATATGAAGGATTGGTGTGTTTCCTTAAGCAAAACAAGACTCCTCCTTAGTTTCAAATATTTCTTAACTAAGAATGTCCTTAGGTATCATCAGAGCTTATTTCAGGAGCATCAGCTCCCTATTAACTCTCATTTGATAAAACCTACAAAAGTTGCCATCAAACGTTTTCTGTCACAGGCATCAAAACTATGGGAAGCAACACAAAAGTTGTTGAGCGACAGAGCAGGCAATGGTCAGTTATCTAAATCTGCCTCCTGAACTAATTAGGTTTGAAATATTATGCTGAAGCTTCCTATTTTTTTTTTCTTTTACATCATAGGAATGCTTAGTTTGGATGTTTAAGATTATACAGCATTTTTCTCGGTATTTAATTTAATGCGATAGTGGAAAGATACTCGGGGCAGTGCCCTTTTATTGCATTTAGAGAAATGTAAACGTTTTGTTGCGATTTCAGTAGATCTGTTGTCGTCTACCTTTTTTTTTGAGGCTACGAGTATAAGCTTATGATAAAGCTAGCTAACAGATTCAGACTTCAGGTTTAGAAGCATAAAGAAATGTCAGGTAATTAATTAAGCTTCAAGTTAGTATAAGCATATATCGATGAATTGTTAGGGCAAATGGGGAACGTCTTTAAACTTCATGATGACTTACTGCCAACTTTCTACGCTTTGCTTCCCAAAGGCGCTCTCTGTGAATTTCCTGCATTTGCATTAGAATGCATTTAAGATGAAAAAAAATAACAGTGCTGAGTATACTTAGGGTTTCGGCTATATTTCCCTGCAGTAACAGGTGACATGCTAAAACTGTTAAAACTACAGTGTGGAATTGCAAGTGTGCAACACCAAGTGAAAATTGTACTCATTCTTGGTTGAAAGAAAATTATCAATCAGCATACCATGATCAATTATCCCCCTGGCTGCCACACACTGGGATTTGCACAAGGCATTGACATTGAGAAATTCCTTTTTAGAAAGGATGAGCGGACGGGATCCCAAACTTTGCAGCAGCCAAGCTAAGATGCCGGGGTCTCACTTTTTTTTTGCTTTCTTTTTTCTTTTTTTTTCCCCCCTATTGTTTCTTTACAGCTCATCCAGGACAAAACTAGGAGATTGTGTTTACTTCTCAGTGCATTTTAAAAGATGCTGTATTTTTTAAAAGTAAAAAAGAGAGAAAAATACACCCTCCCTTCCAACCAAGCTCTCCCCCCCCCCCCAAACAAACAAAAAGGAGAGATAAAAAAAAATTAAAAAAAGAAAAGGAAAACAAAGAAACACAAAAGCACAAAGAAAAAAGCAGCCAAGCTAAGATGCCGGGGTCTCACTTTTTTTTTGCTTTCTTTTTTCTTTTTTTTTCCCCCCTATTGTTTCTTTACAGCTCATCCAGGACAAAACTAGGAGATTGTGTTTACTTCTCAGTGCATTTTAAAAGATGCTGTATTTTTTAAAAGTAAAAAAGAGAGAAAAATACACCCTCCCCTCCAACCAAGCTCTCCCCCACCCCCAAACAAACAGAAAGGAGAGATAAAAAAAAAAATTAAAAAAAGAAAAGGAAAACAAAGAAACACAAAAGCACAAAGAAAAAGCAAGTGAGGGAGCCTCAAGAAGAGCCGCACACCCCTCTCCCACTCGGTGCTCACCGTTGTTGGTAGGAGGTGATGCCCTGGACGTTTTGCGGGTTGCCGTTGGCCGCGGCGCCGGCTCGCCCCATGCCCGGCGCCGCCGGCACCCCCCCGGCCGCCCCGCCGGCCGCCGCCGCCGTCACCTGCACGCTGAAATCCGGGAAGATCCTGATCATCCCCGCGGCTCAGCACCCGGCGAGTGTCGGCGAAGAGGTGCAGCAGCAGCGACTCTCCCTCCGGCGGCTGCAGCAGCAGAGCCAGGCACACTGCAATCCCATTAGTGAGTGGCGGCCACTGTGAGTGAGGACGGGCGCTTTGATGTGAGCGGCTGGGCTGAGATTGAGGAGTTTGGGGGGGCTAGGGGTAAAGGGGAGGGGGGGAAATTTACCGAATTGCAAACATGCAACGCGTGAAGATTTGGGAAGCGAAGTGGAATATCAGAGCTACCAAAAAAAAAAAAAAAAAAGGTATGTCGAATACTACTGGAGCTGTAGATATAGGCGAAAAATCCAAGCTGAGGAGGGACGGGCAGGAGAGAGGGGGGCGCAATTACTTTAGCGGTGCAGTGAAAATGATGAGCAGCAAATGTTGCCTTTTTTCCCTCCTCCTTCTCGTCCCTCCACCCCCCACCCTCCACCCAAAATGCAAGTCTTAGAGGATTTCTCTGTCTCAATGAAGTAATAATAAAGGCGGCTGACCACAGTCTGGGCTAGCGCCAACTGTGCGGGGGGGCCGGGGGGGGGGAAGGCGGGGGGGAAGGGGAGGAATATCCCTGCTCCCAGAGTCCTGAGGAGAAGAGGAAGAGTGGAGGATTGTTGCAGCACAAGTTCTCGCTCTTGGTAACTTGCTTTTGCTCTCCTAGAGGCACCCCGCAGCCCCCCTCCGTCTCTTTTCTTTCTCTCTATGAAGGGACGGTTTTCACAAGCGAGGAAATGCGCCGCTTTTGTGCAAAGGCAGAGTTTGTTCCTTATTCTAGGGAGCTGACTCTCCTCCCCTCCTAGTGTGCAGCAATGTTATTGCGAGTCAAACTTGTAAGGTGTGTGCTGTCTATGCACGCACTGATCCCTATTGCTGCTCCAACATATCAATTATAGGACGGGGCGCTGCGCAGGGCCCCCCGGCAGAGCTCCCTCGGGGTGCGGCACGCCCCGCGGGACGAGGGCCGCAGCTCCGCGGCGCCTTTGTGCCCCCCGGGGCGGCGCGCAGCCCCCGCCTCGCTCGACACACA